ATTTTTTATTACATATTCTCGTAGCTGATCTGAGAACTTTCCAAAACACATAAATAAAATATTTTTTTATAAAATAAATCTTGAGTTATGAAGCTTGAAAGTTGGAGTACTGTCGGCATTAGCATCATCCAAGGTAAGGGATAACCGTATCAAATTGTGAGCTGCTAGAGCAGATTAAACTAAACAGAAAAGTCCTCTACCATTTTGCAAAATTTGCATTTGTTAACGAGATATTAATTTTTAAAGATTGGCGAATAAACGCGTTCAGCTAAATACCAGCGTTGAGACGGTCGTATCTCGCTGCTGTTAAAGTTGGTATTTGTTTAAACTTTAAACACAAGAGATATAGAATATATAATGAAAAAAATAAGTCCTTTGTACAAAATATCATTAGCTCAGCGTTAGCGTACAAGTTTGCAGTTCTAGGGATCTTAGGTTCAAATCTCAATGTTTTCAAAAATTATAAACGCGTATATAAATTGTAATTAATAAAATAGAAAATATGCGGAATAGTAAACACAAAGTAAACTCTAAAAATAATGTTAAAAATAAAATTTAAAAAAATTAATTTTTTAACAGTAATAATATATAAAAATATGTAAAAAAGACGTATATAATGTTACGTTGCAATTATATATATCTAATACATAAATTATACATTCAAAGTTGCTGACATATAGCCGTACCGTTAGTACATTATATGTACTGTACAAATAATATTACATGTAATATTTATGACACTTGTGTAATATAACATATACATCAGCTAAGTTATATACTGTGGTTTGCTGGGACAGCTTCCTCATCTTCACATCCACGATCTATCGTTCTCCCTCCATCCTGTAAGAGAAACAAAAGAGATGAAAGAAATACTAACAGAAAAAAACACCTTTAAAAAAACAAATTTTCGTGCAACTAACCATCTCTCCCTCTTACAGAAATATATCTATCGTCTCTTTCCTAACTCCATTAATTGTCTTCAAATCGTCGGCCGCTGCGTCCAACAATTGCTGCGTCAACCGTTGCTTACGATCTGATTCGGAAGACGTGAGAAATTCTGCTCGCACTTCAGCGACTTTCCACCATTGTCGCCGTTCCAGCCCAGTAATCTTGTTTACATCGTAAATTTCAAGCCGAACCATTCGATATCCGGTCTCCCCCGGTGATTTCATAATCACTCGACGGTTGTTTTCAATTTTGGATATAGATTGCTGAATTCCATATGACTTGATTGGCATATCAAACAACGAATTGAAACCTCTACACGACTTCGGCCTCTTCATCATACGAACGGATTCCGCGTCGCGACTCATGGCATCTCGCTTAGCGGGAAGCGTGAACGA